ATCTGGTCAGCGTTATGAGGGACAATTTAAAGACGGAATTCGTTGTGGCTGGGGTAAACTTCGATCTCCTGATGGACAAACAAAAGAAGGCATATGGTTGGATGAAGAATGCACACCTGGCGCACGGCCGCTGCTTTCAACGAAGAGTAACACAACATCGACGTCTCCTGAATCTTTGCCTTCTGCCATCAACTATGGAACATCTAAAACCTCGAAGTCGTGTATTCTTTTGTGACACATTCATTACTTCACCTAGTACGACACAAGTCTGTTGTGTAGTTAGTTCCATCATAGTGGAAACCATTTGCATTTTTTCTGTGTCAAAAGGGTCGGTGAGGGTGAGAATGAGGTTGTGCATGTGCGTATGATGATTGAATATTAATGATTTCGTTGTTAACCATTCTCACTCATAGAAAAGCTGAAATTGAGTCTGCGACAAAAACGCAAATTCGATAAACGAAATCTCGATAGATAAGAAGGATGTGGTCGCAGTATTCCAACATAGAATTATGAGCACAAGTCAGGTAAGCGAAGAACGAAAGAAACGTGCTGTTGTTGCGCTTGAAAACGCCGTCCGTGAGATTATGAGTATTATTTTATTTGTGGTCCATCTGCATCTGATCAGCCATAATTAGAATAAGTATATAGGTATTACATCCCCTGTCTTCTACTCCTCATCATTCAATGATTATCAGATATATTCATTTGTTCTCAATTTAACCGGTTCTACTGAACGCACTGTTCCAATCACGACGATCACCATTGTTTCTTATATTTCGGAGAGAAACTCATCCTTCATGTTCATTTGAACAATAATCTAAAAATTAAAAACAAAACTTAGTAGAGCATTATTTAAACACAAACATGGAGACAAATATGATGGTTTTCGTCTTCGTTATTGTCAGTTAGTATCTCAACCATAAATTCGACACCAGATTGTAAAAGTAACTAGCTCCTGCTCAGTTTAAAACATCCTAAGATACACTGATACCAATGGCTTTCTTTTCACGTAAGCCATTCTTTTTCAATCGGAGAATGAAAAGAGGATTCGTACCAAATATCTCAACAGATTCTAAATTGCGAATCGTTGAAGTAAAAATTATTCATCAGCATGTTTTATATTCTTATGCTGCTTTATCGTTGCCGATCGTTTATTCTATTGAACTACTTCCACGACAGACTTTATTTTTATGTATTTCTTTACAGATCGATACCTGAAATGCAGATATAGTCAACAAAGATACGATCAATACTTCTTCATTTTCGATCGATATTGTTCATTTAACAATTGGCGTAGATCAGAATTTTAAAAAATCTGGCTCTTGTATAGACTGTTAAAAATCGCTCTGTAATTTAGTCGCAAATGACGTCAGTTAGTTTGTGTAAATTCATGTAAATACATGAAACTCAGCTGTTCCGAACACTACATTTGTCCAACCAGATTCATCTCTTTCTAGTTCTAGCCATCCAGTCAAATTTCTCATGTAAATATTGACCAATCATGAATCTCACGATACTGTCTTTACCATTGTACAATATATCGAAGATTCTCGATGGATTTATTATAGACACCGAAACAACAACATCAGCGTACTAAAATCAATCATAAAAATAATGTATTATTGATTTTCTTGTCAATTCTCATGGCGTCGGCCTAAATGCGACGGCGCAGATCGGTATCTGGTGGCATCATCGTCGCACACTCCCTTCTAAGTGTGATATATATTTTACCAGCAGAACCGCACGAGTGACTGTTCAATGACGTCGTAGAGCGAGATTTTCAACGCTAATATTATTGAATTCAAACTACGTCTGACAGAAAAACTGATAAAAATAAGTGTTATTCTCTCTCGTGTGCACACAGAAACGAGTGAAATATTTTTCTTTTTTTTTTCAAATATTGTTCTGCACTTTTTAAAAATCTTTCCTAATTATTTGCTCGCCAAGTAGGAAATTAAACATCTGTTTTTTTCTCTATTTGTCGTCTGTTTGCACTAGATATATGACTTCCTTGCTTGTAAATAATTGCTTCAATTCTCCGTCTACTCGTGTTTTACTAAAGCAACACTTGTTGATCGCCACACTGAGACAAATTGCTTTTTCCATACTACTTTTGACGGAAGATCTTTTTTCTAACCCTTCCTGAAATTAAGATTTAAGAAACTAAACCCTGCACTCTGTTTAAATACGAAAAGTACAAAAACAGAAAAATATACGCATTTTATATGTGTGGGTATACTTTTTTCTCCAAATTTTCGAGTTCTTATCTAGACGATGTGAGGTTCTCTGCTAATTAGTTTATCTTCTTTCGAAAAGCTGATGTTTTTATCAATGTTAAACAGAAAACATCGAAGTAAGTTCGGAATCATATTTCATAGTCGGAATGATAACATGTGTTCATAATACTTTAGTGATGTCAACATTTGGTTTACTCTTACAAATCCATCTTGCCTTTTCCTACACAAAAACATCCAATGATTATGATCTGTATGGAATCAAAGTAGCAATGAATGATTATATCATGGTTAGTGTCGATAATCTGAATATGGTTTGGTATGTCATTCCAGTGGTACCGAACAATTCTATATACAATGCCATCGCTTTCAACGAAACAAGCTGTGATTTTGTTTATAGTGTCGTTGTTCCTGTTTGGAATATAAGTTCATTCGTTTACAATTGCATCGATTATCAAGGCCGAAATGTGATTGGTCATTTTGTTAGTAGTAGTATACTTTCATTTTCATTGGCGGATGAACAGATAGTGTCAAATTACTCGACACAAGACAATTTTATCATCGATATTGATGGACAAGATGCGGGTGTATATGGATTTGCTGATGATTTTATGTTTTACTATGAATTGAATCCAGCACATTCACTAACAATATGGTCTAATACATGGAATATGTCTCCACGAGCGCTCGATATCGGTTCAAATGTTGATTATGGTGTGATCATTGGTTATTGTCAAATAACATCGTCTTTAGCGCAAGAATGTGCTTTCATCATTCAGTTAAACAAGTCCTTGTCATATCCTGTCCGTACAAATGAATTCTCTATTCAAAATTACATCCAGTTTCCTTATTCTGATCCACGTACTAATCATCATATCACACAGAGTCGTCTGTATTCTGCCCAAACAGTTTTATCAATAGCCATCACTTGGCGAACTCGTCGTGTTCTAATAGGTATTCCATCACTAAACATAGTATTACTGTATTCATTCGATAACCCTCAAAATTTGGCCGGTAGCCGTCAGAATGGATTAGGACTGATGGGATTTGGGAAAGGTGTTGCATGGTTGGATGATCAAGGTGAAAAAGCGGTAATTATTGCTAACAAATATGTCTATTCATCTTATCAATGGATATCTTCGTCTATTCACGTTTATGATATACAGTCCGATGGGTTCACCGATGGTGCACGGCCCATTCTTATCTATCCGAACAGCCAACAGATATTGTTTCCATGGATTAATCCATCATTCTTGCGTCTTAGCTGCTCAGCTTCTGGACATGTGACCATATTTGATTTATTGGGCAATGCAGCTATTCTCTTTGCTGCACCAGCAGGTACTTATCCGAGTACAAACTCAGATTTTTATACGTCGATTATTGTATCTTGCATTCGTGGCACCTATCGAAACTATACTGGAATTGAATTGTGTTTTCCGTGTCCAGAAGGAACGTATTCAAGCGATTGTTTGCCGTGCAGATCAAATGATTCATTTTGTCCATTTGGTTCCGTTGAGGAAATCGCATATTCGACATTTGAATCAAACGATCAAGATCAAGATTATCCAGAATCACCTGAAAATATCGTATTTGATGATATACTCATGCAGAACATGTTCAGTTTCAATGTACAATCGATCCATTGTCTTCTTGTATCACCTATCACTTGGGTATTCGTTGTCATTATGTTATCTGTTATCATAGCTATTGTAACGACAATTCATGAATATTTTGGCCCGGGCAAACATAACATACGTGATTGGATAAAACAGATCTTGAGAAAAGTCGATCTTATTGGTGAAGGACAGGTAAAACAGATCTCTGTCAAATGTTTTCTCTATTTGATGTATCTGAATTAGTTATGGATTGGCGGCCTGGTCTCGGCAGCTATTGTTGTTCTCATTGTTTCGGCTTATGTATTTTCGAGTAAATACACCTATGAATATCCACTCGAACAGTCCACAAGCGCTAGTGCATTTGCATGCGATGTCTCATTGCGTAATGCAAAATTCAGTACTACTCTGCAAAAACTACCAAGCTCACGCAGTGCCACAAAAGATATTCAAGCTATTTTCGACCTACTCAACCTACAATCATTTACACTCAACATTGATCTAGTACAAACGGCATTTACATGTGATGATACTTTATTTGTACAACGTTTCATTGGGTATACAGAGACAAATTTAACAATTTCAAGTTGCGAAACAAGATTTAACGACAGTATTCTTTCGCTAGCTATCCGATTACCAGTTCAAGAAATCAGTTTACAAGTGACTTTATTAGGACTGAAGACTATCGGTGCTATTCGTCTTGGATTGTATGGATCAGGTTCCACCACTGATAACAAAAGGTATGAGATATCAGTTGAAATAACGACAAAACTTTAGATGTTCTCTTTCCGTACGAATAAAAGGTACAAGCTCATGTCACTCAATTTCTCGTCGACTTTTGTTCCTCTCTCGATTAATCAAGTTCTTGCTTCAGCTACTCTCTTTTCTCTACAATTAACTCAAAATGTAAATCGAACCGCTCCGTTGAGTACCGATGGATACTCGACTTACAGTGCCATGTGGTCTCCTTCATTCAATGTCAACACTGATGAACTATTCTCGGAAGAAACTCGACATACCTTGTTTCAACGAATGTATACGAACATCAGTATCACTATCGAAAAGTCCATCTTCTATGTCAGTAATGTACAAGAGCCAATTGCACGACGTACTGAGATCATTTTTCATAATCTTCTGTTTACGATCGTTGTTTTGGAATTGTTTGGTTTATTCTTTCTTATTTTTAAATTGCTCCTTTTCCCGTTGATGCAATCGATAATCGAACGTATATCGACAAAGAAATGTGGTGTCATTAGCAAAGACTTATTCTTGTCCAAAATAGTTATCAATAAGACTACTCCTGCAAAAACTGATCAACTGGATCTTGATAAAAAATCATATTGTGAATGGTCAACAGTTGTTGAAGATGTAGAAAAGCCTACGACTGAAATGAATCATTCGTAACGCTTTACTTTAAAGTTCTACATTTTGTATGAGATATTTTATTTTTACATATTGATTTATGCACAGCAGTAAAAAATGAAGTTTGGATACTTTGACAAATAAAATTCGTAATGCGAGTGGCTTGTGAGGAATGTTATAATAAATATAATATTTGAAAGTGTTTCTTCAATCAAATATCGACTTTTTTTATCGAGATATCTTCAACAAATAAGTCATTGACATTCATACAGAGAATTGTGTTTATACTTCATTGCAAGGCATTGTCCTATGAAAATACTGATAAACGTCAGATGGACATATGTCGACTGGTGCTGGTCTCCGAGTGTATTGTATCTAATTTGAATATTCACTATATTCTACGGTTAATGCCACTCTAGTCATACTTAATAGCATTGGTGTTTTCTTGGCAATAAGATTTGTCGAAAACATTCGAATAGCCAGAATAAATGGACCTTCCTATATTTTGCGTATTTCTCCACTATTTTTAGACATGAAAAAAAGATTCCTCGTCAAATTCATTACAAAGTCGTAATGAAATATATTTCTATAACAAGCAAAGAAAGAAAACTAGACGAAGAATATTGTACACATGTTAAAAGTCCAACTTTTGAATCTAGCATGTGTCTTACCGATAGATAATGTCTGTATGTTTTCTATTATTACTAACAGCATTTGTCTTCAAGTCAAAGTGTATGCTAAAGTACATCGTGAAAAACTCTCTAAGCTACAATCAAAAACTGATTATATAAATATACATTTTGCTATTAAAAATGAACCGAATCACATACAACTGATTTCCGATCCTATAAATAAAATCATATTTTCTTTACATTGAGCTCTGCTGTTTTTAAAGAACGAAACGATATATAGGCAGTTCGTTACCAATTGTAGAGCTTTTCATACTTCATCTTGGGGCACATTTTGCATTCTTTTAATCAACTATATTAAATGATGATAGAGTGAAAAAAGGAAGAAAGTCGTGCTTTATCAAAATAGCTGCAAAGCCTCTAATATTATGCTTACAATAACCTTCGTCTAGTTTTCTTCCTTCGCCCAGGTCATTCTCACTCGGTCGGAACCAGCCGGTTTCTTTAAATTCCTTGGCGCTGGATTCCGGCCGGCTTTTTACTGGTTTATATCGGAAAGATCCTATANAAGAAAGCACACTGGAGAAAATATGATTCCAGAATGTGTTCATTTCCTTCCTTAACTCAAGAAGATGTCCGAAACATTTGCTGCGGTTAGACTAAATTTTTTCATCGAGTGCCCAGGTCATTCTCACTCGGTCGGAACCAGCCGGTTTCTTTAAATTCCTTGGCGCTGGATTCCGGCCGGCTTTTTACTGGTTTATATCGGAAAGATCCTATAGGTTCCAGATGGAAACGATGATAGTTCTGAACCAACTGGATCCGGCTATAGAAGTATTACTACCCATGTCAGAATGTATACATCGGTTCCGACCGGTACCACATAAATCCGATCGGAATCCCTGGAAAATTTACCGAATTCTCAAACGACGAATTCCGACGTTGGAATAAATCAGGACCCGTTGATAACAGCATATTTTCAATAATATCACAGGGTCCTCACTGAATCGAAGTCGGAATCTCTTACCCATTATTGTTCGATCTGGGTAAAACTGTTTCCTTCTCTTATAATGCGGATTATATACCCAGATCGAACAATCCGGTCCGGAACCGACCAGATCCTACGTCTTTCGGTCTCTTCGCGGAGAAAGTGCCGTAGTGCAAGAATCTGCTGAACAGATTAGGCAGCTTTCTACCGGAACCGACAAGAAACCGTCATATCCGATAGACCAGGATGTTGGCCCACTCTTTCAATTACATATCTCGCATTATCTGACTACTCTCTACAGGCGCTGCGTCGGAAATGAACGGAAGATTACCTCCAAAATCATCATCCTAGAATCCAGCTCTTTGGATAATTTGAACATCTTTTTTCGCTGTCTTTTTAGTCCAGATCCACGAGAAATTACAAGAATCGTTCCCAAAGGAACCTATGAAATTCACAGTAACAAGAGGCTGACGTGAGAAAACATAAAAGTATAAGCAACTTCATACACAACATTACTCACTCCCAACGGCAATAATGAGTTAAAATTCTCAGCAAGTACACGAATAACAGGTGAAACGAAAAACGGCTAAAGCGAGTTTTTCCTATACTGTTTGTTCACTTTCTGTGTGTGACATATCATTAGAAACAGCAGAACAAACTGCGCCGCATGGACTATTCAAACGAGTGCTTCTTGTTGAAAAGGTGTATTGACTAAGATCCATACATCCTAATTACATGCACCCTCTCATATTGTCTCGCTTGTGCCTTGAAAGGACAAGGAACAGCAGCTTTGCCAAATCTAGATTTGTGAAGCATTGAAATTTCGATGAAGCTGACATACCTTAAATCCAAAGTTAATCAAATTTAACCGGAATACACATCTGTTTCGTTATCATTATCTGATAAAGAAAAGCTCTTTGAAGTCTTCACCATAATCGAGATTTGAACATCATCAGACAAAGTTACATAGAATGAGAGCTCTCATGTCATTCACTCTACATTGTTGGGTCAATCCGCTTAAATACAAACAAAACATAAAAACGCCTCGTTTCTCGATAGTATTCGTACCCACTGAATTTCATAATTGAACAAACAATCGAGATTTCTCTTTTTGTCTACCCACAGAAAGAAAAAGAACAAATAAACCGGATTAGGCTCGCACTCAACCTATACCTTTGATCCAAGGACTACACAAAACTATTAAAATACCTAACTCTTTAGCACCTTGTTTTCCAGTGCAAATTTCCTCATCTTTCGCTTCATAATATTAACACCTATGTAATAGACTCGATCCATTCATATTGCAGCAATGCCTGAACGCTATATAAATCAAAAGGCCCCTGTCACCGTCATCCTCACGATAAAACTCAACACAATACGCTTCAGTCATGAAGCCACAACCTTATCATTCACAACCGCGAAAGACAATTACCCAAACACAGTCGACAAGAGAGGCGTTCTCATAAAACTCATAGAAACTTTCCTACGCGGGCCTATAAGATTTTGATTCCGAAGTACTTTGAAGTACTTCGGAGACTTATACATTTATTCAGGGTGGACATATCTCATTTTGAGTGTGAAGTACTTTGAAGTACTTCGGAGACTTATACATTTATTCAGGGTGGACATATC